ACAGAGACAGAGACAGAGACAGAAGCAGAAGCCAGTTGAGAACGTGAGTAACAGGATCGAACTCAGCTGTCTTCCAGGTGTCTTTAGTTGAGCTGCTGTGGCTGCCTCCACATCCTGAATCAGTTCAAGATATTTATCTTTGACTTTGAGCAAGAAAGAAAAGTCTCATTGTGCCAAATGTGGCAAGGGCAGCAGTGAAGGAAACACCTCACTGCTTCAGGGGCCTGCATTCGTCATGTTTGGCTGCATTTCCTAAAGACGTGAAGGAGCATTTTGGAACTGCTTCAGAAAGTGCTCAGGCCAGGCATGGTGGCACGCACCTGAAGTCCCAGCACTCGGGAGGTGAAGGCAGCAGGACCACTGCAAGTTAGTTCAGCCTGAGCTACATAACGGGACCTTGTCTCAAAACAAACAAACAAGTGCAGGAATGATGAGACAATTGTGTTTAAGCAAAGCGAGTACTTAGAGGGGATTAGTGATATTGTCTCTTATTACAATACATTTTCAACACAAACCAAACATATAAATCCCACCTAGTACAAAAAGACTTCTTCAGGGTGGGCCTGCATCTCAGAAGGGCTGCTTTCAGGAAACACACAGAGACCTAATTTAAGAATTTGCTTAGGGAAGAAAGGCGTCAGCACTTTCTTTCTATCCTTGAGAAAATTGTGACAAATTCATAGAACACGGAAACAATGTGACATGGAAGAAAAATGAGGAAAGTGGAGCAGCAAACTCCACAGGCTGCTTGCTCTGCGAATGCCCTTCAGAGGGGAGGACACCTAGGCCCGGCTGCCAACAGAAGCTACCTGCTTGTCCAGAAAAATGAGCGCGGGCTGCACCGGAAGCTCTTGGCCCACTTCTCCATCGGAAGGCTGGACCAGGACAGAAAGAGCACAGGGCCGGGCATAGAGTAGGTTTCCAGCTTTGACTCTGCTCACATTTCTGGAAAATACAGACCCAAACAGAATACATAGGTTGAATTACAATAAGTGGAAATAGCTGTTTTCTATAAGACATTATTACCAGCGAAAATATTTATAACTGCTTATGCTTCTAGAAACAATGATATATGATGTAGTAAATAATTCCACATTGACATATAATATATTTATTTATTTGATATACTTGCTTTGCCATACTAAAATATAGACTGAGCAGGATGAGGGAGAAATACAAATTAGGAACTTACATTTTTTTCACTACATATTAAAATCAGTTTAAAAATCCTTAGTAAAGGGAATTATCAGGGCTTTGTTCCATAGTAGGGGAATATGCCAGCTCTTATAGAAATAGCCTGATTTAGGGGCTGGAGAGTGGAATAAGCGCTTCCCTGGCAAGCACAAGGGCCTGAGTTCAATCCCTGGCTCCGCAAAAAAAGAAAGAAAGAAAGAAAGAAAGAAAGAAAGAAAGAAAAGCCTGATTTGTAGAGCATTTTAGCTTCTATAACATAAACATTTTCCCACCACCACTAATTCCAACATACCAATATAAAGTCACTGCATGGAGCTGGAAGAATGGCTGCAGAAAGTTCTAGAA